TGCGGGTTGAATGACAGGCAGGAATGTTATACTGACTGTTAGAAAAGTGTTACGCAAACGGGTTGGAACTCTACCCCGAGACCGTTGCATACACTTATAGATTCGAGCGAGAACAGTGAAGTTGACGCCAATTTTCGTGAAATATTGAAGGAGATTCCTAGATGCAAGGGGGCAAAACCTGGATGGGGGTCTGGGGGGTCGCTGATAAAAGATATAAGTAGGCTTCCGTTTGCTTGAAAATTTTGAGTTACGATAGGTTGGAGTCGATTCGCCACCGTTTTGCTTGACAAGCACGTATTCGATTCGCGTCCGGTCCCTCGAAACTAAGGATACGAATCACATCCGATTCAGATTGTATTCGTAACTCGTTGGTAATATTAGCATTAATAATATTTTTTAGCAGTGCATGGAAGGAAGTCGTTATGTCAAATGTAAAAGAAATTATTAGAAATGCAAAACTGTTAAAATGTACAAAGATTAAAGTTATGACTGCGTTTACGGCCCCGCCTCGCCATTGGGATTGTGCGAATCTGCAAAAGGAACATGTATACGAGTAAGGCGAAAGAAGCTAACTAACAAGTAACGTTTCAATTATATTAAATAACCTGCATTTATGCCACGCAATCTTAATAGGTCATGTTAAGAAAAGACGCACTGTTTGCATTCAACGTCCTATGCCCCTTTAAGGGCATTTTTCAGCGCCCTCTCCAGCTGGTGACGTTCGGAGCTCTGTCCTCTGTTCCAGTGGTCGAAGACCTATGTAATACATTCCATCAGCATACATGCATAACAGGTCTTTCCAAGAACGAAATTATACAGAGGTGTTCCGAAGAACGGCCTCTTTCCCTGTTGTCGACCATAGAAGACGATGAAGGAGGTGATTTCTTCGGAGGACACAACAGTGTCCCCGTCAAGAGAGCACAAGTACGTCACCTAACAAAGTAATGAACACCGTAGTTACGTAACATGTCAGTTGTTGGCGATAGGTGTTGTCGCCGAGAGCATTGACGAGGGCGTCTAGCTGCTCCGGAGTGTCCACCTGACTCGAGTTGAATCCGGAGGACTCAGATGAGCATATGGACATGCTCCTGAGGCCTTGGAGCAGATGTATCATTGCTGCGTGCTATTGACGCAACTCAGAGACCAGATGTATAAGCATTGCTAGTGATTGCATCATCCATCGAACGCCTTGACTCATACTAGCCCACCCTCGCTGGCGATAGTGTTGGTACCCTGGGCGTCCTGTCCGCCGGAGGGTGCTGAACAAACGGTTACTACCTACGCAAGTCGCATACGGGACCTCGAAGTTTACCCGCGTAAGGAGGGGAGGCACAACCTGGTATGGTTGCACTGCAATCTGCTGCTTCGACCTCAGATCCCTGAAACAGAAAATCGGTAAACAACAGATAACCTTACCGACGTTGATGCCACCTCCGGTATCTTCCCCAGGGCCCAGAGGAGAGGGTCCTACAGATTTTTTGCCTTCCTCTTGTTTTGATAATTGTCATCCGGCGGTAGTTCGCCGGACATGATTATCTACAACTCAACAGGAAAACAGCGCCAGCATCTTTTCGTCGAGGAAAAATTCCTCAACAAACCTACGTAGCAAATGCCTACAATAGGGAACCAACTGTTTGCAGGACTGAGGCCTAACCATACAGCCAACTGCTACGAAAAGTAATAAAACATGCTTCATATATCTACGAGGAAGAATGTCCCGCATGATCGCTATGCCTGTGTAAAGCAGAAACTGACGCAATTCCGTGCCCTTCCATGTGTCTACATCATTAAGAGACCTGGCACGCTGCGAAAATTGCCGTGGGAGGTACGCATTCAGCGATTTCGGCCTTTCATTAAGCGTATTTACTGCAGCTCTTGACAACCTAAAGGAATTCTCCCTTGGGCTTCGAAGCCACAAGTTCAACAGCCTCCTCATTACACCTAGGCAAACTAAAGGAAGGCAGTCTAAAGGAAGTGAACTGATCATTCCAAGATTACAAGCTAGCAAAGGAGAAATACCAACTGGATGACTGCCATCAGCAGGAGACAAGAACTCCTCATCCGTCCTGGCAGGCGCAGAGACACTGTCGTGGACTACTTTCTCAAGGTATTCGCCTTTTACATAGCATCCTTCACAACCGTAATATGCATTAACGTTCTTAATTTGCTTAATAAATGCCCTAGCAGACGCATCACAGATAACGGCTGCCAGGCGGAACTGAAGAGTTCTGTCGATGACGTCGACACGCAGACCAGAACTTGCAAGGGTTCCTAGTTTTCCTACTAGCGGTCTGCAAAATGCCTGAACATCGGGCGGCTTTCCCTGTCCACAATAAATTCCTACTGCAAACATTTGACTAAGAAAGGGCTGGATAATTCTGCCTGAAATTGGCCAAAATTTTCTTTTGGTCTTCTTATGAATAGGAAGACCGTCGATGGCTAAGTACGCTACTATCTCGTCACCTACCACCTGCATGGAAAAGGCACTTAACTGCTCAGTCAACTGTCTTACAAGTCCTAAGTGAACGTACTCACCGCTGTCAAATGCCGTTACCGGTGGCAGATCGCCGGCCTCGCCGAGAAGTGTTCGTGCGTCCAAGGGCATGTTTGACACGTCGGCTGGCTTCATCTGCCTCAAAATCTTCAGCAGCTTTGTCAAGTGCTGGTGGGGTATTCGGGAACGAACTGTCCGGGTTCGCAGCAGGTCGCGTGCGGTCACATCCACCCCAGTTGGGAAGGACATCGGACGCTCTTCAAAAGAACTGTGCCACTGTTCAGTCGTCGAGGTCGATGTGTCCTCCGAAGAGGACGTTGGGGCGTCTCTTGACAGCAACGACTCATCTTCTCCATCCTTCCCGATTGGCCTCTGGGATGACCACGTAGATCAAATATTTGGTGCCTACGAGGAGCACCTGTCTGTCAGGATCCACCATCTGAGCCAAGGTCGTATGCTGCTCTTGATGCCTGCCCTCTATATGCTAGTCTGTCTGTTAATAGCTAGATGAAACTCTCGATGCCTGCTGCGACTGTGTGTCTGTCAGTCTATGCCTCTCTCTGCTAATAGCTAGGTGTTACGGTGCTTGACTTTGAGTGGTGCCCTCACTTTTCTCTCTGACTGGTGACTGTGTCCGCTTGTCCACTCTAGTTCTAAGTTCCATAGCGTTAGGCAGTGTGTATGCTCTCTCCTACTTCACTCCATCACATCATCACCTCACCACCAAGGTCCCAGGCTAATTCGGGTCGTTCTCTCACTAACAAAAAGTCGTGGCCCATAGTGGAGTCCGGCAGCCGTCTGGGATAACCGGGCAGCCCTGTTCAGGGATGCGTTGCCTGCCCCCGCGAGGGGGAGGGGGCTAGAAAAGGTGCCCTAAAGATCGCTGGGAACCACGCTGTCTGTAGGCTGGCCGTGGCCGCAGACAAAAAGCACACGGTCGAAATAGCCAAAACCGAAACAACAACAACAACAACAACAACAACAACAACAACAACAACAACAACAACAACAACAACAATCACTCTCTTCCTCTTCCAGCCTATTCTTCTTCTTCTCCTCCTCCTACTATTCGCCGCCGAGGTCGCCAGACTGGCAAGGTGAGCCCGCTCACTCTGGAGGAGGTGGGTGCCGGCTACACCTTCTTCTGGAGTGGTCGACCCAGGGCTGAGCGACGAGACGCGGGCGTCGCCTTCGCCATCCGGAACGACATCGTGGGACGACTGCCCTGTTTGCCGCAGGGTATCAACGATCGCCTGATGAGCCTCGGTCTGCCTCTCCGGCGGGGGGGTTGGGGGACAAATTCGCCACCATCATCAGCGCCTACGCTCCGCCGATGACCAGCCCCGACGCCGTCAGAGACAAATTCTACGAGGATCTGCACGCCCTCTTGGCGACTGTGTCGAAGGCGGACAAGTTGATTGTCCTTGGTGACTTCACCGCCCGCGTCGGCACAGACCATACTGCCTGGAGGGGAGTGCTGGGTCCCCACGGTCTCCGCGGCTCAAACGACAACGGCCTGCTGCTGCTCCGCACCTGCGCAGAACACGGCCTCCTCCTGACGGACACCTCCTTCTGTCTCCCGGAGCGAGAGAAGGCCACCTGGAGGCATCCTCGGTCGCGTCAGTGGCAACTGCTGGACTATGTCCACGTCCGGAGGCGAGATCAGCGGGACGTGCTGGTGAGGAAGGCGATCGCGGGTGCAGACGGGTGGACCGATCACCGCCTCGTCATATCGAAGATGCGAATTCGTCTACAGCCTCGCAGGAGACCACAAGGTAAGCGACCCCCAGGTATGCTGAATGTTGCCTTGTTGTCTTTGCCCGCTCACCGTCCTCATTTCAGCAATGAGCTAGCTCAACGGCTAGACAACATTCCAATCGCTGCCGACGCCGCCACTGCCTAGAACGCCCCCGTGGAGAACCGCTGGTGTCAACTGCGAGACACGGTCCAGTCGATGGCGCTCGCCGTCCTCGGTCGCGCTCCCCGCAAACACCAGGACTGTTTCGACGACAACGACGCCGCCATCAGAAATCTGCTTGCTGAGAAGAACCGCCTACACAAAGCCTA